ACTTATTGTTACAATTGTCCCCAAGACGCCATTTCAGCTTCATTTGTTAAAAACAATGCTAGTTAATTAGCAAAACTAATCTTTTTTTTATTGAAATGTTAATTAAGGTGTCCACTTAAATATTCGGTTACTAGTTTTTATTTGCTTAAACAAAATTACTTTGTAACAAGATAATATTCTAATACCAAAAAAAGTACTTGCGTAGCGTGAAAATATCTTTTGTGATGTAACTCTTTCAAAAGTTCATAAAAATGGTTGCCATCAGGGGTGTACATGTAGATTTATTAAATACACCTTGTGCGCCACCTAGGAACCAAATCTAGAAACCGACTTCCGAAATTTTTGTTTTGTTACAATCGTACCCTGTTACAATTGACCCCACTCTCCCCTATGGTATGCACAATTCAATAAAAATTTTCGCTTTTTTTTCATACTGTACTTACCATTCAAAAGTCGCAGTTGACAATCAGTAAATCTCAATGTACAGGTTTGACCTAAGATCTACTTTTTGATACCATAATAATAATGAGTCTTATTTGAGCTATGATTCCCAGCATGATGGGGCATTCTAAACAAGAAATACTTGAGTAGTGTATCCCATTTTCGGAGGAAGTTACACCCTAGCTTCGAAATGATTATCAAAGAGGGAGGAAGAGCTGCATTTGTACTTACGTTACTATAATGCATAGTGAGTCTAGCTTGGACTAAGTATTGCAATTGTTTTCCCACCTCTAAAGCACAAATTTAGGAGATCAGACCGGTGACTCCGTACCTTAATTTCCAGAGAATCGTTAGTGAATTTTGTCATTTATTAACAGGAATTGAGAATCTATTTCGTGCATAAGAATAGAATAGGACTCTAAAGTCTCATAGTTGTGCCTATTTAAATTAAACAAATGCTTCGATGGGGGAAGCCTTCATTGAAACACTTCCTGAGTGACACTTCCTCCGCTAGGATATTCCTTTTCTTTACTACCAGAGAAGTGCTTTATACATAATATTTGGATAACTCAACTTTAAGAAAAAAATTCTATTAGGAAAAAAGAATCAATAAAGAACAAAAATTTAATGCTACCATTTTGAACGTTGAAAATTTAATAAATTTTAATAGAATACATATTTTGGAATTATGTAATGTATTATATGCATTCCAATGCATATAAAAATGCATTGTGTGCACTAGAGCCCGGATTTCGATGACCTAAAAAATCTCAACTAATGCCCTTAAAAAGTGAAAAAAATGTCCTTAAAAAGGACCAAAAATGCCTTTAAAAATGCAAAAATTGCGCAAAGAATGCCTTAAATAAAGTAAAAATATTGAATTAAAAAATATTTTGGTCTTTAAAATTATTATGAGTCATTTAAAAAATATAAAGCAATGCAATACTTGTTCTACGTTTATTAAAGTTTGAAAAATATGTTTTATATCCTAAAATAACAAAAAAAGGAAAATATATTGACAAAAAAACATTTTTATTTTGTATAGAAACTGTAATGGATATAACAACTTCCATCTCATAATATTACTAAATATCAGAATTACATTGGATTATTAAATATTTTTTGATAATTTGAAATGTAAACGAGCGTCTCTTGTCTGAAAATAAATTTTCATTCCTACAGAAGCTTCTTTCAACGTCTACTGATGTTAGAGGTGCGTACTTGATAAAGACGGTCTCACTTACTTACAATTCTTCTTCAATTTGAAAAGATTTTGCTTCACCTGTTAATATTCTATCGATTTTCTTCATTGTTTGGAAGCTAGTGTAATAATGAAAATAGATAAAAAATAGTAAAAATTGGAAAAAATTAACAAAAAACTTTAAAAAATGCATTAAAATGCAAAGTATGCCCCAAAATTTAAAGAAAAATGCCCTATAAATCTGAAAAAATGCTCCAAAAGACAAAAAATGTCCAAAAATGCAAAAAATGCAAAAAAATGCAAATGTCATCAAAATCCGGGCCTTAGTTATAACCATTTAATTTTTTTCATCGAATTTATTTTTTCTTTCCAGCTTGTCATATTTCAAAAAGTCAAGTGTTTCCACACCCACTGGGCCAGGTTTTTTGAGTGGCTGTTGGACATTGAATACTCTTTTTGGAAGACCAAATGCAAAGCCAAGTGTAATAACTTCGAGTGGGAGTAAGATATGAATTTTTGTTTCCTCTTATCAGGAAATTTTGCTTCCCCAATATTTTACAGCTATTTCCCACCAGGCATAACAAAAAGTTTTAACAATGAATTACAAATTGCCTTTTTTAAAGTGAAAAATAACTAAGTTAGTAAATGGAAATGAAGATTCTAAATTAAACAATATCATTTCATGTTAGAGAAAAGCATCTTTTAAAAAGAATGTAATGAAATCATACCAACCTGCATTCCCAGCCAAAATATTCTTCAGAAAAGTTTAAAAAATCTACACAAAGACTGCAGTTTTTTTAAGACACAAAATAAACTAGTTACTTTGAAGTTGCTGTTTAAAGTAAATTTTTAAGGTAACTTTTTAAAGTAAAGTCTTTAAAGTAAATTTTTACTTTTCTGGGTAAGTTTTTAAAGAAAAATTTTACTTTTTCAGAAGTTGGAAAAAAATGTAAGGGAAAAAAATTGAAACAAATTTAAATTCCCAAGAATGACTGTAAAATAACCAGTTCTTTTAGGCCTCACATTTTTTAATAAATAATGTTAAATTCGAAGATTCGAAAATTCGAAGAAATAATATCTATTTTCCAGAGTTCTGACAATTCTGTCTAGAGAAAAGTTTATGGAAATGTCTAGGGAAAAAAATAGCTCACATCAAGAGACTTCGGTGACAAAAATTCGGATTTTAAAAAAGTGTACCATGGATCAAAAACTTTTTTACGCTTTTAATAACTTTTGCTCTCATGATTAAAATAATTTAATTTTGACTATATTATCAAATAATGTATAATAACTATTGATATTTGATATCATATTAAAACTCAATCTTAATGATTCGAGAACCTCACCTTAAATATCAATTAGAACATATATTACATATATTACAACATATATTTAAACTTCTGTCCTGAGTCATAATTGCATTGAATTGTCACCTGAGTCATAAATGCATTTGCATGAGTTGCCTACAGAATCGAAATGGGAAAAAAAAAAACTTAAACTGTTTGTTTAAATGTGGTATAATTTGACAGACTTATTATTGCTTTAATTCCAACTTACGCAACCAATGTTAGTTCAAATTGTAATGATGTAATTTTTATTCTCAAATAAATAAATCAATAAGGAGATAAATAAATCAAACTATTATTACTTCGTTGACAAATAAAGAGATGACAAAATTCGTTTTAGCATATACGACTCGCCGTAGAGATTAAGTTACGAACCCCCTAAATAAAAAAACCGACTGATTAGGTTTTCTGGCTTTCAAAATATAACTTGCAATCTTGAATCCTAATTCTTTGGTCTAGAAAGACCCCTTAATATTAATTTTCATGTTTGCATATTTTTTCATATCCCGAAAACTCTTTAAGCAAATACAAAATTTTTGGACTCAATTATAAAATTCGCTTATCCAATGCCATGTAAAAAGGGTTGTATAGTTATTGATATATTTTTATGAAACACTCAACTGTTTCATTTTCTTCAAATAATGTGCCCGAATATAATTTGTTTTTTTTTTCAGTTAACAAAATTGTTTTTTTCAAATAGTTTTGATTCTTATAAATTACATAAACTCAAAACAGAACTGTTTAGAGTATGGTTGGTATTAATTTTTAATATTTTTTTATTATTAATTTAAAAATAAAGCATTTTTACTCAAGTTTTTCTAAAGAAGATATAGAACGAAGAACATTTCACCGGAGATGAAAGATAACATATATTTTTGAACACTTTCATCTTTTTCGAAAGTTTAGCTTTGGTACGCATTAATTCTAAACATAGAATAAATTATTTTCCATTATGAGTCAGTCATCCATCTCGCTTTTATTTCATTATGAAATCGGGAATATTCGTAAATTTCTTGCCTAAATGAAAAGCGATGTCTTTGAAATCAGAACAATATTTTCAAGATTACTTAAGACCCCTATTAGACAAACTAAAAACGTTAAAAGTCGAACAAATCAGTGGGTATTTGTTAGAAAAATTCACTGCCCTAGTGGTGCACTGGCCAATCAAAAAGGTCCCGTTCACGGCTCCAGAATGGTGTTTGTGTGCAGGTATAAGAGAAAAGCGATTGATAATTTCAATAAAAGATAGAGTATCCATTGTACATTGTAAATTTAAAGCGAAAAAAATTAATAATTAAATAAATAAAACCCCTAAACAACGCACAATTGAAAGTACAATAATAGTCATAAACATACAATAGTTTCGATTTCTATAAACTAGAACCTTCCTCAGTGCCAAAACCCCAAATGATAGTAGAGAAAAAAGGTAGTTAGGTACATTATTTACGTCACTTTAGAGTTTCATAATGAGCTATTGGCGATGATCTGGGAAACATCCCTGAGGATGATCTGAAGACATGCCATTGAAATTTTGATCCTCTGCAGAAGGTATTCCCCCCCCCCTGCTTTGGTAGCCTGATGACCTGCACACGAAGTCAAGCACTTTACGGTGAAACAGTTTACCGAGGACCAATACCATGCACCCTTGGTCCCTACTCAGGCTGATCAAAGTGGTCCTCCACCCGCTTACTGACAGCAGCCAGTGATGCCTGAATTTGTTATTCTACTGTGAACCGTGTCTTTACAATCAGTTCACTGCGGGACTGTAGAGAAACAAAGAAACAGACGCGTGCAAGGTGGTTTAATCAATAGAGACAGAGGTATAGATTTGAAGAAGTTAATAAAATATAGGAAATAAGATTGAAGGTTGGGCGGGATCCATAGTATGCAGGAGATTAAGCTAGAATTGATTTCCAAATGTTGGGAAACTGTGGAATATTAAAAAGATCATTAACTAAATTATTAGAAATCTTCAGAACATGGAATGGTTCTGTTTATAAAGAGCAATGTTGAAAGATTTTGGCGGAAGAAAACTTAAACCCGTGATTTGACTTCCAACTATAAGGTTGAGTGAAAAGTTGATTAATGGCCTGATTTTGGACATTTCTTTTGTGTTCAAGTTGAAGTTTCAGGGTACGCTTAGTTGGTCCAATGCGCAGATTAACACGAATTTGATGAATTCACCATCTATTAATAACTGCAATAGAGTCTTCAAGGTTAGTCAAGTTTAGTTTGCTTACAGGCGCAAAAACTACTTTTATGATATCTTGACATCAACTGTGGCATCCTTTTCCGTAATAATATTTGAGTCAAAATTTTAATAGCGGTAACACCCAAAATTTGATATCATAATTTTTACTTTTTTTGGTGTTTTTTAAAGAGTATATATTGTACAAAATAATAACCCAAAAAGATTTTTTTTTATTTAATTTATTTTACAAGATAATAACAATTAAATTTCGAAGCTCTTTTTAATTAAAAAATAAATATCTAATGATAGAAGGAATGGATTTTAAAAAAATGTATCTCATTTTACGCGGAAATAATTGAAGTTTTTGATAAAATAATTATAATAAAACAAATGTTTAAAAAATTTAATTTTTATTGCAAAATTAAGTTGTAAAATGAAAAACAAAAATGTTGTTAATGTCGTACAAAGTTCAAACAAAATCCATTTTAAGGTAAATTTTATTCTGAACAAAATGGTTTTTCAAAAAAAAATGGATCGCAATNGATTATTTAAAGTGTCTAATGGTTTTCAAGTAAAAAGAAAATACATAAGCAAAAAGAAGATGAAAGAGAAATAATATAATTCAACAGTAAAAAATTACATTAAGCTTTCTATCTTGTCTTTCACCTAGTTTGATAATTTATGTTTTAAAAATTAAATAAGCATATTACTATTCATTTGCTATTTATTATATTTCATTCAATTATTTCAGCTATAGTTCTCAATATATCCATTGATGAAAGGGAATATATATATCTTTATCATCCTCCAGAAGGGTTAATATCCATACACAATCCGTACCGCATTGTCAATCCTCACATTGAAGGCTTCACTTTATCTTTGAAAACACAACAACATACTTTTCATTTAAAGAAGGTAACTCTATTTATATTTTAAAACTCATACCTTTAAGCCCGTAACTAGCTGAATATATGCTCTTCGCTTTAAGTAAAAATAATCAAACTTTTAATCGGTATTTTTCTATGCTACGATATAGTGCAATAAACTGAACTGAGTTTAAAAATATAATAAACTAAACTAAGTTGAAGAATTTTATTGAATTATTTCAAATGACTATCAAAGGAATAGATCTAAATTACATGCTTATTGCTATATTTTCAGCCACAAGGGGCTCAAAAATACAAATTTTCTTTTGTGATTTATAATCAGTCTCTTAAACTTCTGAAAATTTTAGAATATATTGATAAATAAGAGAAAAATCATGATCTAAGCACTTCTTAAGTTATAAAAAGACTACGTATTTTGTGAAAAATTTAAAAAATGTCAAAAACTGTAAGCGCTGCTTCCATTATTATAAGTAGAATCAGTCGTAACAAAAGAAAATCTTGATTAATTCTAGAGATACAGTAATAAAGATGTGAAAAGAAAAATTCGAGGTTTTTTCCCCAATCAAAAAGCAAAAATTAATCCAATGAATTACGGCACCTGAGCCGAAGTGCTTTAAGAAGATCATTAAAAGTGTAAAACTAAACCTTGGCTCAAGAAGGCACAGTGTCAAAGAGTACCCAAGAGCACTGTTATCGATATAATCAATTAGGGCACATGTCGAAAGTCGGTCAGAATAACGAGTTGCAATAAAACCTACTGCTTCTATTTGTAACGAGATCGAATATCACGCCAAGACCTGCAAGGCAAAGATCAAATGCATTAACTTCTATGAAACAAACATGAGGTTTGGATCAGGCTTTGAAGTTGACCTGAGTGCTTTGAAGAAGTCCTATTCGTATAAAAATGAGCAATAGATAGAATTGAAAGAAAAAAAATTTAACTGCAACTAGGCTGATCCTGGAATCCAACTGTGATCGTAAGCCAATTATAGCATTCTCCAATATGCAGCACCTATCAAAATTATTATTTTTTTTATTTTAAATATTATGTTAAAAAATTTTTGTAATGGGTTTTAATAAAGCTGGTTCGCGGCTTTAATATATATTATTATAAACTTATATATATTATTATTAGTTATCATAAACTTATATATATATTTATAAACTTATAATAAAATTAATACTTTTTAAGTGAAAATGATTAAAATAAATTATTGTTTTCTTGGATTATAGATTTATCAATATTGTTTTGATTATCATTGTCTGTTATATGTCAAAAAAAAATTACCTTATTATTCTTATTTCATGCATGCGTGCGTGCGCCCGTTTGTGTGTGTGTGTGTGTGCGTGCGTGTGCGTGTGCGTGTGTGTGTGTGTGTGTGTGTGTGTGTGTGTGTGTGTGTGTGTGTGTGTGTGTGTGTGTGTGTGTGTGTGTGTGTGTGTGTGTGTGTGTGTGTGTGTGTGTGTGTGTGTGTGTGTGTGTGTGTGTGTGTGTGTGTGTGTGTGTGTGTGTGTGTGTGTGTGTGTGTGTGTGTGTGTGTGTGTGTGTGTGTGTGTGTGTGTGTGTGTGTGTGTGTGTGTGTGTGTGTGTGTGTGTGTGTGTGTGTGTGTGTGTGTGTGTGTGTGTGTGTGTGTGTGTGTGTGTGTGTGTGTGTGTGTGTGTGTGTGTGTGTGTGTGTGTGTGTGTGTGTGTGTGTGTGTGTGTGTGTGTGTGTGTGTGTGTGTGTGTGTGTCGTGTGACGCGTTCCTATTTTTTTCCCTGGCAGGTATGGTGTATGTGTGTGTGTGTGTGTGTGTGTGTGTGTGTGGATGGACGCACGCACGTACGTACGTACGTACGTACGTATCTATGTAAAGCATTTAGGGAAGCAAAGGAGGAACATTTAGGGAATTAAGGTAGCGAAAATTTTAGTGTATAGTTTCTCGATTTAGCCTTCATTGAACAATTTCAATATGTTACAGTAGGAAAATATCAAACAAAATCTACACATTTTTTACTACAACCATTTTTGATTCATAATTTCATAAAAATGATTAAAACGACGAGAAACGCTTTACATTTTCAAAGGTACATAAATGGATATATATTAGAAAAAAAGAATAAATAATCATCCGAAAATGCGACTCATTATAACCTTAATGTAAATCCTCCAATTGTAACATACATTCTAATTTCTTAACTGCTATATTTGAAAAGCAGCAAATTAAAAATATATTTTTTATGTAATTTTATTGAAAATGATTAAAACAAACAAAATATTCCCTATAAAAAAGTAATTGTTTGATTTGTGTACATTTAAAACAATAAAATACAGATCATAAATTAAATTTAAAATAAACGAGAAAAAATATTAGATTGTTAAAATTTTTATTCTCTGCAATACATTAAACTTTTACTTACAAAAAAGAACAACTAAAATGTTTACTAACAGTAACTTAATGCTTATAGCTTTAGAAAGATACAATCCGTAAATTACTTTGAATACATATTGATATGCAACTGAGCATTCCAAATCATATTATTAAAATCGTGAGGAAGAAGGTTGCTTTAAAAAAATTCCAAACGAGTTGTTTACCAGAAAAACGCCAACTGCCAAAGGTGAAGCCAGAGATGCAAATCCCATTCATCGAATGGTTTTAATTTTTCTTACTCTATTTGTAGGTGGTGAAGAAACTTCTTCCATATCCATATGACACGAATTGCATTGATTACATGTCCAGATGGAAGGAAAGAGGAGGCAGGGGACCAATGAATGATGTTGTAAGAAAGATAAGTTTCTTCTAATCTAGTCATGTATATATTAGAGTGGGTTGAAAAACGCTATAGTGATTAACGTTCCTTTCAAGTTACTTTGAGTATGGAATAGATGCTTTATTTAAAAGGAGGAAATTGACACAAGAATATTGAAAATGGGTTGATGTCTCGCGCATGATACTTATAACTCATAAAGTTTAAGAAATGTGAGCATTTCTTAAAAACCTTTCAACGTCACTTAAAATTGCACAATCGTCATGTTATAATTTCTAAGGTTTATTTAATAGTTTAAAAAAAGTGAAATACATTGAAGTATCCCTATTAATTCAATGATTTCTAATTACTGATTTCTCAATGAGCTTAAAAAACAGGAATTGTATGATTTTTTTCAAATTTCTCGCCATTTTCTTTTGGGGCTGATGAATCACCACATCCACTTACAACTGTGCAATCCGCTTGCTATAGTTTCTTATGTTTATTTTAAGGATTAAAAAAATGAAATAAATGTAAATTTATTTATAATTTCTAAGTGCTGTAGAAAAACACAAATAATGTAATTTTTCCATTTTCCTTCTTTATACTGCCATGGTATATTAGCTGCTACGTAAAGCAGGGCAAGGTTTTGAATGTCCCACAACTGTGGCCTGAAAAGATTTCGTTCACAGCAAATTATCTATCCATGAATGATTCTTACAAGAGAAATTCTAATCAAATTTTCATTTGGAACAAACAGCAGACGTGTCAGTTTTCTAAAGAAGCAAGTGTACTAAATCAAAAAATATTACGATTATACAACAAAACATCGATACTGGGTCTAACTACAAGATTGTTTAAATAATATATTTTCATCGTAATTTGTAGGAATTTGTACAATTTTCACTAACGCAAAAAATTATTAAAACGGCTGGGGTAACTTTATTTGCCATCCTCGCAAGTCATGGTCTCCTTGTGTGGTAAATGGTAACTGGTGCTCGTTAAATCTGTATCGTCACAAAGTCTTCCATGTTCTCATAGCAGATCAATACATCTGGAGATTATGAATTGGAGATTGATTGTTTTCTGATTCAGGTTCAAATTACGATCAGAGGAATGAATTTATGAGTCATTTCTAAAAACGGGCTGTGACGTGTGGCTGGAAAAAAAGAAACGCACCCTCTGCCTTAAATTCGCTTGGTTTTACCAAGCAGGGTTGCTGGTTGGTAAGTGGCATTAAAAACAATAACATTATTTAAGCAGAAGCTAAACGCATTTATACGCAGAGTTTTTTCACTTCTGAGGCTTTTATTTGCTGCAATTTGTAAACTCTTCGGTGTACAATTTTTATCGAATGTATACTCATGTCCATAAATTTAGGATACTTTAGAATCCCACGAAAAGTGAATTATAAAGTAAAAACTTCCCCTGTAGATCAGGGTTTAAGCTGAGTCTAAAAANTTCGCATTTTGCGAAAAAAGCTACCGTAGCGGAAACCCTGCTGTAGATTTATCACGCAGATCTTCAAAAGTACTAGGCAAATTGCAGGGAAACACCAGATGACGCCGATAGTACGTCACAATGCGAAACTGTAAGAGAGGGGTTTTTAAGGAATGGTGGCAAATAAGTTAATTTGTTCACAAGTTATCTGTTAACCTTTCAGTGTCGTAACCAAATAGTTTATGACACGGTGGACGGTTTTTGTGTCCGTGGAATTGCCCAACGTTTCATCTCTAGGCTAGGCGTTTCATTAAATGTCAGCAGACGTTACATCACATGCCACCCCCGAGTGACCATGTCAAATAAAGACTTTAATAGCAAAATGAGAGCACCGCATCCAAGCAACAGCGGGTGCCACATCATCAAAGCAAACCGTGTACAAACATTTGAGAAATATTGGAATAAAATGCTTGTCATATCTGTTTCACTCTCGGCAACTCACTGTTCACAGCAATCAGTCTGGAGGTGGTTACAATGGGTTGTTTTCCGAGTAATCCAGGATTAGCTTGCAGTCTGATTCACGTTGGAATTTTACATGGATAACCCATCACCACCAAGCATAACCGTTACTGTGGTACAGGACAGATCGATTGGGGTGGAATTATACTGGGCTCCAGAACTGCATTTTCAAATCGGAACCATGACAGGCCAAATTTTTCGAAACGTCATTCTAGAACAACGAGCTTGGCAAAAGTTTGTCTGTCACTTTCTTCATGTGTGTCGGAATTCGGAGAGCATGAGTAGATAAGCTCGATGTTTTGATACTTAGCATGCCTAATCGTTGTATGGACTGTAGTTTACTGCATGGGAGATATGCAATACATTAACCATGTGTATCAACCGATGTACAAACCATACCAAGTGTATAATTAAACTTTTCTAAAAGAAATATTTTTTAAAATTTGCCTTACGTGCAAAAATCGTAGTTTTTGTGAAAGATATCTTATTTGTTAACTTTTGTTTTTGTTTGCTGGGCTTCATGAATAAGTCCCATTTGTTTTGTTTCTGAACTATCATTTGCTGGCATTATCCTTAACTTTCGAACATAAGTATAATAAATGGTATAATTTTAAACAAGAATAATGAATACAGTAAATAATGAGGAAATGTTACAGTAGTGTGTTTCATTCAATATATATATATATATATAATGATTCATTATCTATAATAATATACACAACGCAAATGCCATAAGCTGATATTCAAATTCTCAGATTTTTCGCTTTATTTACCGGTAAAATAAAAGTAAAAAATAGATTCGCTCATAATTAAAATAGAAGAAGAGTTGTTTCGTTTTATGTGACCGAAATATATCAATCGTCGTCAAAATGAANGGTATATATTTATAGGTCATATATATATATAAGGTTTGAAGACTTCCAGAAATCACAGTTTTTATCGCAAAGAAATGAAATTTTGCAAAAGTATGTACTACTTATTTGTTAATGCAACCGCAGTTCTAAAAACATCAGTTTGGTCATTCTCACAAAAACTGTCACTTTTCAGTTCATAAAATCCAAAAAAAGTAAAGTGATTAAAAAGCTCTGAAACATCTTATATTAATAGAAATATGTAATGGCATTATAAAGAAAATATATATCCTTTAAATTATGCTAATTATTTAAATAAATTAACTAGTTTCACTATTTAAAAAGTGAGGGAATGACACTAATAGTGAGAAATAATATGGAAAAGAAATTAATAAAAAATGTTGTATATAAAGAGGTTTTGTAAATAATTTTTTTAATTTTATCATTGTTTTTTCTTATTTTTAATTGTTTTTTACTTACTTTCCAAAATTCTTTCAACCAGAAATATTAATTAACAGTTCATATTTGTTTGAGATATTTCTTAAATAATGCATAAAAGTGCAAATCATTGGTACACAAAATGATTTGAAAAGAAAAATCTATGAAAAATGTACATAGCTAGGTTTTGTGAATATTCAGAGATCCATTGTAAATAATTTTTAATTTTATTGTTTTCACTTTATTTTTTTATAACAATTCAGACAAACATTTTTATTGATCATTGATAACATAATTATTTCATATCACATTTGTTTTTTTTTTTATTCGTAATCAATATGACATAAAAATTAAATTGCTTAATTTAATTTGTCGAATTTCAGTTACATATGTTTTTATTACGTAATTTGCTTTTTGTCTGATTGAAACTAAAATATTTTGTCAGTTGACAGTATTGTAGTTAATTAGGCAATTACTTGCAATGGGTTTTGCTTTTGAAATATTACTCAGCATCAACTGATTAATATTACATGTTTTAATTTGTTTGTCATATTTATAAAGTTTTTTTCATTAGGTTTTAATTGTTTTCGGTATAAAATTTAAATTGCTGGGGGGGGGGAGATGAAGCACCATATAGGGAGCTTCCGGCATCCTATTAGATCAACAATGATTTGACTTAGTAGGGGTAAAAATATATATGGGTTTCCCCTTGGCGAAATTGGCGACTTATGCTTGGCGCCATTCCTGATCGCGCGGAACACCGTGGTAACAGGAAAGGCTGCCAAAATATAATGATATTTCAATAAAACATTGGAAAATTTCAACAAAACATCGGCCAAAACTTTATAAAATTGCAATAAATCCGATATGAGCAAAATTAATAAACCCAAGAAAATGCATTTTGAATCGAAAGAAAAATTAATTTAGTAAGCATAAAAAGAAATGGAAAAGAACAACTCACTTCTTCTTTAAGCTTCAATATCCTCAGATTTAGGTGCATCGAATTCTCCAATAGAATTTAGATACTGTCTAAATTTATCATGAATAGAATCTGTGTACCTCCATCGCCACATAAATTCGGCGAAATATGAATTGAAAATAGCGTCTGTGGTGTCTGACTGGCGATGACATTTCTTTCTAAAGTCTCTTTCAATGACTTCAATGTCACATACCTTCAATCTTATTGGCCAGAAGAAAGAGTAACCTTACCAGCCAGTATCCAACTTAGAACTAGCGAATCTCTGAAATCACATACACCGTTGAACATTTAAAAATATCGCTAAAATCTAAACCAATCAGAATCACGATTGGATTTCAACATCGCCCAGGTTGGTGATCAACCGCGATCAAAACTTGGTGAGAATCAAAGGGCAGTAGCGAGCAGGGGGCGGAGCCCTCTAGTTAATACATGTTTTTCTCTAAGTTACAGCTACCTCAAGTTTGAAAATGATAACATACTAAATATATCTAATATTTATTATAATATATGATATAATATTTATTATAATATATATTTAATAGTTTTTACAGGTTTGGGAAATGAAATTGACTGGCACGATTCTCACATGGAATGGGTGGTAGAATTCTTCTTTTGGTGTCTGTTTTTGAGTATTTATGTACGTCTTTAGGAAAGGAACATTTGTATTTTCCTGCATTTGTGGGAACCATTACATCAATTATTACATTTTTTGAATGTAAGATCTTTATTCTCCGGGGTATAAAATTTTTTCATACTCGACTAGCACCCAATCTCCTATTTACCTATTTTGTATTCCTCTGTATTTT